GACATGATGTATGTGCCAGGAGAATGTACAAGGATGTTACAGAGACTGAGTAGGTCTAATGAAATAGATAAAATAGAAATGACAGATTCTATTGTGGAAAGTTCAGATCATTCTCAGAATCCTTCGCATTGGCCAGGGGCCAAAGAGGCTTAATCTCGAAGAGCATTCGGAAATGCTCAGAGTGGCCTGATGACCTGGACCACGGGGAGGAGGTGAGTGCAGGGGGAGCAAATGGAAGTCATCTGTATTTACCGGCTTCCGTCACCGCGTGACCCGTACCGCAGACCCGTCCCCGCAGACCGCCTGAGTCCTCCTGTCGAGCAGGGGCAGCATGGATTCTTCACAGAGCCGACCCTCTGTAAAACTGCGCCATGTTGAAGGGATCTAGGTTGTGTGCTCCTTATGAGAATCTAAGCCCTCCACCCGTCTGATGGAAAAATTGCTCCATGAGACAGTCCCTGTGCCAGAAGTTGGCACCCTGGGGAGAATCATGCTTTCGCAGAATCACTTTGGGTATGAGTGCAGCCGAACTCCGGTGACCAGCCCACAAGACAGTCCAATCCTTCGTCTTCCATGGCGAGACTGCCATATTAAGTGTCCAATAACTGAGATGGCGAGCGGGGAAATGATATCTATTACCAGGTGGGCTGTACCCCCACACTTCAGCTGATAAAAAGATGGTGATAGAGGGGGCACTAGAGAGATGTCTTTTCAACATCCAGTGTAAAAGGGATTCCTGATCTTAATTAAATTTAGGATACAATGAAATATTCTAGAGAAGAGATTATATGAATTAGATACTTGGTGATTACAGTGGAAAGATACAATTAAACTACAAAAGAAAAATGCAAGAGAGTGAAAATGGCATTTTGTGTACATCCTGTTATAAAATTGCTTAGCATTGTACATGTGTATTTCGCCACTAGAATAGAGCATTAGCAAATGGTAGTGAGACACATGACCTGTCACTGATAAATTTGCATATCAATTCAATAATCTTATTATATCACGTTACATACACAGTGCTCTTAGTCAGTACCTGCAATTCACTTGGCCAAATTATTCAAACTCATTTTAGCAATTCCATAATCAAGCCATGATGCGGATTTTCAATTTCTCCCATTGGGTGGGCTGAGAGAAGAGGTGCTGCCAACTTAAGCCAAGCCTTAACAAGTTCTGCTCGAGAAAAGCATGCTTGAGCCTTACTCATGCCCCGCATTTGACAGGCTGCAGGCACACGGCTGACAGGGGATCTGTTGTCTGTCTGGACCGGCATGAGCGGCAGTCACTAGGTTCCAGTTCTTTTCGAGTGGAGGTAATCCAGCCCTCCGGAATGAGCCTCGCATGTTCACCCCGTCTCTCGGATTGAGACAGTAGGCCTATCCGTGTGGTGCCAGAGCGGTGCGGCCACCTCACTGTCATTACCACACAATTCAGAACTTTTACAGCCATGGTTTCATCTACTTTTTTCTTTAGGGAAACTTCTAGTGTAATTGCAATGTGTTGGTTGCCATACAGGAAGGCTCCAGGAATAACGTCTTCCTGAAATCATTCACAGAGCTGGGAGTGGTCAACTATACTTTTCGAACCTTACTTATAGTAGTTTGTTCTCATGTTCTTCACATCCTGTGCGGGATTTTGGAGCATTGCGCAAGAATGTGTTGCTATCTCATTTACTATGAGAAACCTAAGAGAAACTAAACTTTGACTTGTAGGAAAGGAGTTGCTGGGCAGAGGAAGTGGTTATCAGTCCAGGGTTTGTTGAAGGGGAAGGAGATGACATAATCTTGCATTAAACCACATTGACATGAAACTGTTACTTTATCATTAAGTTAACTTTATACTAATAAGACAGAAGAAAAGGCAGATCTTTGTCTCTGGCAGATCCTCACTGTTAAGAAGGCATACACAATTCGGTGGCGAAGGGAAGAAAATCCATTGACATTAGGAACACAAAATATCAAAAATAAGTATTATAAGATATATATAGAATTAATTGAATGAAGCAGTACTTACGAAAGAAACAATAATATAACTAGTAAATCATGAAGTTGGATAAGTTAAACTATAGATTTAAATTTATATTCAAAATCTCATGGATTTAAAATAATGAATGTTTAAAGTCTTGGAAAAATAACACATCTAGTACATTTAATTTGTATTTATGAAGAGACTGCCTTTCCAATTTGTAAAGAGGTAATTAAAATTTTGTTGGCTTTGATTTCCTTTAGTGTTATATTTTAAGCGTACCTTTAACTCCAAATATTACTTTTCTTTTGTTGTTGTTTGTTTTTGATTCTCTGCTTTCTCAAAATTTTTCTGTTGATATTATTTCACATAAGAGCCTAAAGATGGACATGGGTTAAAAGAAATCAACATGAAAGGAATTCTGGGGCTAATCTCTCAGGGTCTGACTCCTGCACTGAGGGACCATCAGCGTCATGATGTGGAATTATTTTTTCCAGGCCCATTCAATTTCTCCCAAAAGGAAACTTCAAGTATTTTGTTTGAGGGGTAGATGCCGCAGTCTGTGTGGTACAGGTCAGGGTAGAGGAGAGATTGGGGATGTGACACCATTTAAAAGTGTATTTTTAATCCTAGCACTCTGGGAGGCCAAGTCAGGCGGATCATTTGAGCTCAGGAGTTCGAGATCAGCCTGAGCAAGAGCGAGACGCCATCTCTACTAAAAAATAGAAAGAAATTAGCCAAACAACTAAAAATATATAGAAAAAAATTAGCCGGGCATGGTTGTGCATGCCTGTAGTCCCAGCTACTCGGGAGGCTGAAGCAGAAGGATTGCTTGAGCCCAGGAGTTTGAGGTTACCGTGAGCCAGGCTGATGCCACAGCACTCTACTCTGGGCAACAAAATGAGACTCTGTCTAAAAAAAAAAAGTGTATTTTACACCCCAATATTGTCTTCTGGGAAGAAGATGTGGAACATCGTGTTTATGTTTTGTTCTGGTTCCACCTTAGCTGCAATTTGAAATAGCACTCTGTGGACGTGGAATGTGGACAAAAGAACAATGGCCTGAGTCAGGACCTGTGACACTTCTTCAGACCCTGCCACTGATTAGCTGCTTCACCTTGAATTTACTAATTTTCAAGCCACAGAACAGATTACATGCAATGGCAATACATTAGAGTATTTCAAAAAGCATAAATAGCTTTTGTTAATATAACTCTCATATCCAATCATAGTTTTATGGCTTCAAATTTTTAATTTTCCAGTGACACACACACCCATCTCAAAATGGAAACTTTGGAATTAACATAAGAATCTGCCGTGAATTGGCACTGTAATAACTGGAAAAGAGGAAACAAACTTGTGAAATTGTCAATAGAACATAGAACAGCATCCTCTTAGATCCCCCATAATTTCAGAAGAACAAACATAAAAATCACACTAGGAGATATTTTTTTAACCAATTTGTTAAAATAGTTATTTCTTCATATCATAAGCTATGGTTTAAGTTTCCTCCAACTTAAGCCCAGCAACCCTCTTGGGTGCCCAGGTCTCAGCTGGCACCGGCAGCGCTGCTTAGAAATCAACAAGGCAACATTAGTAGATGCAACCATCTTCACCACAGGATCCCAACTTGAACCCTAAACAGGTTATTCATTGTTCTGAAAGATCCCTCATGTCTCCCAGGACAGGCATGGTGATTTGAGGACAGATTCTTTCTTAGTCTGTCAAAATGGTGAATTACATTAATAGACTTGTTTTAATATTAAATCAACCTTGCATTCTGGGGACAAACTCAGACAAACTCGGGCAAACTTTCCATCATGCATTATCCTTTTGATATATTCCTGGATTCAAATTGCTAATATTTCACCAGGGACTTATGCAATTATGTTTATCAAAGATAGTAGTCTATATTTTTTTGTAATATATTTTATATCAAGGTATTGCTGTCCATGTGAATCAAGTCCTCTAATTTCTGAAAGAGAATTTGTATGACTGGTATTCTTTCTTATTTAATTGTTTAATAGAACTTTACCAGTGAGACTACCTGGGCTTACAGTGTGCATGTGTGTGCGCATGTATGTATTTGAAGATTTCTTTGGTAACAAATTCAACTTATTTATGTGTCAAGTATGTGTATTTACGTATGTTCAGAGTTTCTATTTCATTGTGTTATCAGTTCAATAAGTTCTGGCTTTTTTAAATAAATACGTCTATCTAAACTAGGTCTCCAGATTTATTGGCTTTAAAATGTTCATAACTTTTTAAATTATCTTTTTATTACCTGTAGCAATATCTCGTCTGTAATCCCTGACATTGGAAGTGTATGTTTTTTCTCCTGACTGCAACCCTTTTTAAATGGGTTTTCATGAGAAAATTAAGGCTCAAGATATCTATTGAATGTAATGAAGTAACTTATTATTAATATCTATGTGTTTAGAATGACAACATCTTTGGAGCATCTTTGGAGCAATTGAGAATATTGTCCCTCCTTTCATTTTCTGTAGCATTTCATTCTTCCTGGATTTGTTCAGTAAAGGCTCCTTTAGGAGATACAACTTTTTCCCCTTATCACAGTGTGCTCTTCACATAAAATACAAAGACACTATCACAGTTGAGTTCTATTTATTTCCTGTCTTTTGTGCTATTGTCACATATATTATTCCAAATGCATTATCATCTCAAATGTTTACTTTGTTTAAACATTTATGTTTCTTTTGAAAAAGCAAGAGAATAAAAAATTTTGTATTTGCCCATTAAAAAAAATAGAAGAGAGATAGGGTTAACTATTCTACATATAATCTTTAAATTAATCTTCTTAAATGTCCCCAAGTAACAGTTCAAATAAATACCATTTCAAGTGTATGATGATGTGTTATAACCACTAAAGATAAGATTTTATGAGACTATTCAGTGATTTAGGAAATTGCCTACCATAGATTAAGTAAAAAAAAATATTACAGAGATTAAAATTCTAACTCTATAAAATTTTTGTATCTATACCAATGTCTATTTTTATATTTATAAAATCAGGAAGGACGTTAATGACACTCCAGGGACTAGAGATAGACGTTAGAAGAACTACTACATTTTTCTCCTCCCAATAGTCTTACTGTGGCCCCGGGTCTAAGGTGAGTAGTCCTGGAAAGTCTCAGGTCAGGGAAATTTGCGTGGAACATTTACATGCGGAGCACGTGTAGAATTTCTGAACTTTCCTTCCCATACTGTCCCTGAAGTGTCCGTTCTCGCCTTTCTTCCTCTCCCGCAGGCTGTCCTGGCCCCTGGGGTCATAGCCACAAAGAAAGCTTCCCTCTTAGCCCAGCTCTCAAGCCCACTTTCAGTCCTTTTACACATCTTTAGTCACCTCTACTTCTCATTTACTGCTGAAGTGTTCTTTTTGTTAAATCTATTTGCCTCATGGAACTAACATAAGGACCTTGTCATACCTCACAGATAAATAAAAGAGGAGGAAAGACGTGAGTACCCCCAAGACTTATAAGCCTTAAACTTTGACCATGTGAACCCTGTGGGACTCGGGAGAGCAGAGATGGAAGAGCACTACAGAGATCCACACTCTTCCCTGAAGAAGGAAATTTTCAGACGAAATTTCCCGTCTGTAGTTTAAGTACAGCTGCTTTTGTGCTGGGACTTCCAGGGTTGGATGCAAGCCCTGACTCTTCCGAGCCATTTAGCCATGGTCTCGACAGCTCAGGAATGTTTCTTTGGTTTTTAATGAAGCTGAAAAAGTTTGTTAGCTCTGGTGTGTTTGAACCTGTAAGATTTCTAAGTCAGTCTGACTGAATAGAAGTTCAGAACCTCCAGCTGATCATGAAGATTCCAAAGTGTCGACAGAAAAAGCCAAACTCTGTAAAATAATTTTAAAGAGATTTATTCTGAGCCAAATTTGAGGACCATGACCCGGAGCCACTGCCAAGAAGCCTTGAGCAAGTGGACTCACTGTGGCTGGGTCACAGTTCAGTTTTATACATTTTCAGAGAGACAAGGGTTACAGGCAAAGTCACAAATCAATACATGAGAGGCATACATTGGTTTGGCCCAAAAAGGTGGGACATCTCGAAGCGGGGGCTTACAGGTTATAGGTGGGTTTAAAGATTCTTTGGCTGGCAATTGGCTGAGAGAGTTAGACTTCATCTAGAAGACCAGAAAGGATATGCTTACTTTAAGAAAAGGGTATGAGCACTCTGGGAGGTCCAGACAGGAGGACATTTTAAATTTACAATAGGCGCCTGCTAGGATGCTTGAGTTAAGATATTTTAAATTTATGATAGGCATCTGCTAGGATGCTTGAGTTCAGACAGGGGCTTCTTATCTTTTAGATGATGTTAATGCCACACCAGAATCAGGTTGGGAAGTAAACCACCGCTTTATTTGGTTAACAAAAGCCACTTAGTAGGAATTTGCCGTTTGTCAGCCTGACCCAGCTGGCCTCCTTAGGAAAGAGTTTTTAGCAAAAGAAAAAGATCAGAGTTCAGTCCTCAAAAGTATATTATCTCTTTAGTCTACAAATGACCGCCCAGAAGTGTTTGTCTGGGTATCAGTCGCATAGCATAGACCCTCCCTGTCCACGGGTCTCACATCTGCACATCCAAACAATCATGGCTCGAAACCCACACATATGGGCTACTACATCGTTTTATGTAAGGGACTTGGGCATCTGTGGATTTTGGTATCCATGGAAGTCCCAGAACCAATCCCTGAGGATACAAGGACAGACTCACCTGTGCCAGGTGTGAGACACAAAAAGATAAGGAAAAGCCCTTTTGTGCCCATGGGAGTCCACAGAGAAAGGCTTGGTTGACTGCAAAAATGCAAATATCCACTCAGGTGAAGACAGTTGAAGGTGTTAGTGGCCAGAAGTCTGCAGCTACTTCTTAGGAGAATTAAGTGGGCAGCTTAACAAACGGTCCAGTGCCTGTGAGGGGAAGTGAGGCATAACCCCCCCCCCCGGGCCACAGTGCAGCACGGTTGTCCCTCTGGCACGGCACTCTGAGGTTGGACTGCCTGGTTTGCATTCTGGCTCTGGCTCTTACTGATGGCCGTGGGCAGCTATCCAACTCCTCCACGCCACAGTTTCCTAACTGGTAAAATGGGGAAGGGAGAGAATGACAATTCGCCTCCTTCATGGTATCAGTCTGAAAATTAAGGCAGTTAATGCCAGAATAGTAAAAGCAGTTAGAAGAGTGCTGGGCTCGTAGTAAACACTTGGTGAATATCGGGCATTACTATTATCACTACCATTAATGACTGTCATCATCATGGCTGGAAGGTAACCTGCCAACTAGCCTTCATTTCCTCACCAGCCTGGCTGATCAAGATTCAACACATCTGGGAAGAAAGTCTCAGCGTCTAAAGCCAAAAGCAGCCTGGCTCTCTTTATATTTGGTGAGAACAGGGAGGAGGAAGGAATACGAGAGGAACAGACATTTTGTGGTAGGTTTTACCTTAACTACCTCTAGGAAATTAACCTGTTCTCAGACATCTGGGGAAGCAGCTGGGTCCATCCCCGCACTCCCATCCTGATTTCCTTTCCACAGTTCACACGTCCCAGAATGTGGGTTGCTGTACAACCAAATGCTGTACAACTACAGATAACAGGTTCACATCAGAGGCGAACCAAACTCACAGTTGATTTGGAGGCTCGTGGTCAGTTTAGTAAGCTGTGCTGAGACCGTAAGACTCAGCTGGCGTGTCCTGATCATAGTTACCCTTTCCCTACAGACCCGTGGGCACGAGCCACCCTTGGTTTAAGTTGCAGCACCTGATGGTGACTCAAAGCACAGGGCAATCCTCGTCCCTTCATTTCACTGCTGGGCTCTTCACTTCTCTTTGCTTATGGAACAACTTTCCAGACAGGGAAGAGAGCACCCTGAAAGGGACACCCATGTGCTAAGTGTCTACACTTCCTCACCCTGAACCTCCACAACCCCATTCATTCCCTCTAGTCGGGCTTTGCTGACAAACAGCCCTTTGCAAAAGTTACCTTTAAGTGAAACCAAATTAAGACATTGGACACTTTTCTTTTCAGCAAATTATAACCCTGTGGGAGGCAGCATCACTTATCTCTGGCAAAATAAGCCATGAAGACTATGAGAAAAAATATTTAATGCCAGGGAAAGGAAAAAAGTATCCACTAACAAGAGCAAAATAATATAAAACACTAAATCTGAAATTTAGCAAGGAACATAAAAAAAATCATCAGAGAAAATGTTGTAAAACTTTTAGAGACAACAAAAGAAGATGAATAAGTAGAGCAGAGCATGATGTTCGTAGACAGGAAGGTAGTAGATAGATTTAATATAGTTTCAATCAAAATCTGCATGGGATTTCAAAAGTTGGTGTTAGATTTCTGAAAGTCAATGACTGTATGTACAAACCTACCTAAGCCTGCCACGATATTGAACAACTTTTTAAAGATAATTACCATGTTTCCCCGAGAATAAGACCTACCCATAGAATAAGCCGTAGCAGGATTTTTAAGCATTTGGGCAACATAAGCCCTAACCAAAAATGAGACCCAGTGACGGGCGTGGCTACGCAGCGTGTCTGCACAACCCATGCATGTCGTCACAGAGCGGTAAAGAAGACAACAGCCCTTCTCATCTGCCCCATCATGACATCTACTATCCCAGATGTGACCGGAAGGGTGCGGGCAGCCCCACCAACAAGGTCGGCTCCCCGGTCAGGTCCCGGCCACCCTGTGCGTGCTGCAAGCTGAGACTTTGAGGGGAAAATAACACATCCCCTGAAAATAAGCCCTAGGGTGTCTTCTTGAGGAAAAATATAAGTCCCTGTCTTATTTTCCAGAAAACACAATAGCTCTCTTCTACACTACATTGTTTAATTTTCAAAAGTACTCCGTCTCTTTTTATGGTATTTTGTTCTTCTTTTATAGAAATGATTTCTTCCATTATCTCTGATGACAATATTAGTAAGTATAGTTTTGGTGTAAAGAGTTAAACTCTAGAAGTAAATTTCAGGACACCGGGGGAAACACACAGACATCAGAGGGAATTTGCAGCCCTGCCTTGCTGTGCTCAACTCCCACCCCCCCACCTCATCCCCACAGAGAGAGCCTAAGAAAAACTAGAATTTGTTGACAAAGAGTCTTTGCAGACACTGTGTTCCTGTGAAACAGCATTTGACACTGAATACGCTCTTTCCAGCCAGTGAGGATCAGACGTAGGACAGCATCACTTGTTTCCAGAAAACAAAGCTATTAAGAAAACGCACAGGAATAGAGCTACTGTGTGTAGAGAGTGTTTCTCTTCAGTGTCAATAGGCAAGAAACAACAACCGTGACAGAGCTTTACCAACGTACTTAATGTAACGTTTAATTGTTTAATGAAGCATCAAGCATCCTCGATGGAGATGTAATATAAACCAAATGCCACGTGAAATTCTAAAATCAGCAAGCGATCCCAAAAGTCAATAGGAACGATGAATACTAACCAAGAACACCTTCTCTTTTACTGAACTTACTGCTTGGTTTACAAGCATTCTCTTCTCAACTATGCTGTTTAATTTTCAAAAGCACTTACTTTTTTAAGCATGTATTTTCTTTTCTATGGAGGCAATAATTTCTCAACTACTTCTGTGGTTTGGGGATGTAGGGCTACTTCCTGGTCAGTGGCCGGAAGGGACATGCCGCACAAATAGTTCTGTGGCCCTATTGATTGTGACATATAGAATTGGCTTTGCAGGCTTTGACTTTCTCACTAATGTTATTATTGTGAGAGACCATGTGACTGGATATCAGCACACAGGACTTTGCGCCAGAATATGTGTTTGGCAGCCATAAAAAAATTACTTACAATTCCCCAAGTTTCTGTATTTTCATCTGAAAATTCTATAAGGTTTTTTTATGAGAATAAATCATAGCACCTTGTTCATACTGGAATTCAGCAGTTCTTAGTTCAAAACCTCAAGAACACTGTGCTGTGCTGTTAGTGGGGATAAAGTAAAGATAAGATCATGACAGTAGGTGAGTGGGTGGAATTCATTTCAAATGTGGAGGCCCTCTAGCTCTCACACACCAAGCCCATTTATGTATTCCAAAAGCCAGAGGATATTTGCAATAAGTCGCAAATACAGCCACAAATTCTTTGCAGCTCGTTCTATCAAGAAATGCAGCCTGTTAACCCACCTCTTGATGTGAGCTGGTGCTATGAATTGCTTTGACTAACAATGTAGTGGAAGTGAGGCTGAGTTCGAAGTTAAAGCTCAAGAGACCTGCCGTTTCTCTCTTGTCCTAGGGAGGCTTCCAGCACCCTGTGTCAGGCCTCGGCCGGCCTGTGGGGAGAGGCCCCCAGTCCCCACGGAACCAAGTGATGCCACAGAGACATGAGAGAGCCCTCCTGAGGACAGCTGGGCCGGCCCAGAGCATGAAGCCCGCCCAGGTGGGTCCAGCACAATTTGCTGTCTTACAGAATGAAGAATTACTAAGCCACTGTTTGACATCATTAAGTTTTGGAATAGTTTGTTATATAGAAAAATATGGCATATACAACAGTCTTCAAGGAAATTCTGTTTCCCAGCAATTTCTTAGTGCTTCTGTGGCTCGCAGGCTCCCACATGCCTGGAGTGCCACCGAGACAAGGTCAGATGAAGGAGGGAAGTTCACAGGCTGTGCCCGGCACAGGCGTGATGTTATTATTGTCATTATTAATATTTGTCCCTATATAGTAGCTGTCCCACTCGGGAATACATGCCATCTGCCAGGCACTGGATTGTACTTAAACTTTATAATTTATACTTATGTATAATTTTATTTCATCGTATTAACTATTGCTCAATAGTTTTCAGCCTGTTTTATATTAAAGAACCCCAAAACTCAGGTATTTTGAGTGATTTGCCCAAGGTGATGCAGCTGATAAAATCAAAAGCAGCACTGAATGCTTGTTTACTTTATTACAAATCCATCTTTTTATTTTGCTGCTCTAGACCCTTTACTGTTGTGAAGCACCTTGGTCTACTGCAGGATAGTAGAAGTCTTGGCCTTTATAGGGAAACTTCCCCAGTGCATACGAGCTAGGGTTGTATCAGGGCAAAATAGTTGAAAGTCAGAACTAAAGAATCTGAAGATACACAGAGTCTAAGAGAATATTGTAACTTCAATTAGAACTAACATAAGTTCTGACTAAATAATGTCTTAAAGGGCTCATAATAATGCACATTATAATGGCACAGCCCATTTATGTTGATTATTTTTATTTAGGAGATCAATGGCATGCAAATTTAAGAAAATTGTTGGACAAAGTACTATTTTGAACTCCAAATTTCATTCCCATGACTAATTTGTGAGAGGACTTCTTATTTTTTATTAGACAAAGGCAATAAATAAGCTTTTGTTAAAATGGTGCATCATTCCCCTGAGTCTAATTTACTGATAATTTTACCCAGTGTTAAAATTACGATCTGAAAGCAGAAGCACCTAGAACAGATGTTACTGTGTTACAGCCGAACGAAGCAGGAAGAGCAGAGAGACACAAAACCAGGTGGGAGATGGGAAGCTCCTCTACTCTGTCTCGGTGAGTGCTTCCGCCTTCTTGGGCTTTGCCTTCGTCCCACAGGATGTGAGGTCTGAGACTGCACCCTCGACTTCCCCCAAGGTACAGTTCTAATCGCACGTGTTTGACACCTAACTTCCTAATTTGAGTTGAATTTTTTTAACTGTAATATTAACAGATTAAATTCTGGATCGCCATCAAGAAGGGTTTAGTTCATTTGTCAAAATCGTAAGGAATTTCTGCCAGATACGAACCAGGTGAGTCTGGACACAGGAGAAAAGATCAAAGCATGTCACGCACTTCACAGCAAGGAGGTGCCGCAGGGTAAAGGGGGCACATCTCAGGGGAACCTTAAAACCCTCTCTGTCACAATGGCAGAGGCTAGAAAGAATCATAAGGCCACCTATGGGGTCAAATATCCATCCTAATTATGTCAGAGCACTGGATTCTGAATCCACACAGAGGGAGACCTTCCCCCTACTACAGACTCCTGGCTTGTCCCTGTAGCGTCCCATCTCTACTACTTACCAGCTGTGTGACCCTGGGCAAATTCCTTCACCTCTCTGAGCTTTAGTGGACTCCTCATAAAACGGGGATAATATTAAAGTATGACAAGTATATTTAAAGAGTCCTAGGAATTTTCCATTCCAAGTGCAATGTGTGTACATTCCTCACCACCCTCCAGTGAGGTACTCTCAGTGCCTCCAGGCAAAGGCCCCAGGAGCACAGGTTGCTTTCATTGTTCATCACAAGGAGGGAGAAAACGCACCATGAGGAATCTTGCGGCTTCTCACTAAGAGGTTGTTGGAACAAAGAAGCAGAGGCAATAGGAGATATATATTAGAGGATTGTTGCAAGGAATCAGTTTATGCAATTGTGGGATGGGGCCAGGGAAGTCCAGATCCACTGGGCAGGCCGTGCTCAGGAAGGCGGGTGGCAGCTGCTGTCCACAGTGGAATTTCTTCTTCCTCAGAGAAGCCTCAGCTCTGCTCTTAAGGCACTTCAACTGACTGGATCCCGCTCACCTAGTTCACCCTGCATAATCTCTTACTTGAAGTCAAGTGATTATGAACTTCAATGCCATCTACAAAATATCTTCATAGCAACACTCCACTTAGAGTTTGATTAAACTGACCATTAAACTATTATAAGGTTTGGGCAAATGTTAGGTGATTTTGAGGAGAATTCTAAGAAGAGGGACTTTGCTCTTAATTGGATTTGGCGATGCTATGATTTGGTACCTTAATAAGTCTTACCTAGAAGGAGGAAAGATCATGTTGAAGCTAAAGCTGTAACCGGTAAAGAAGCAGCAGTAATTCATACCATCTAGGAGAGAGGTGTGCCGGTCATTTCTGTGCTTTGGACGACGTTCATATCTTATCTGGGTTCAATCATGGTTACTGAGTGGCCTTATTTTCTGTCTTGATACATTGTGGTCACAGAGTAGCTGTCTTAATCCAATGTTCTATGAAATTGTTTACATTCAACAGAAGAACACCAAACCTAGCTGTGAGTACCATGCTAGCTGGCAGCAACACCAAGGCCGGGTTCATTGTATCCAGGCAGCTCCCAGAGGTCAGGGCATTTTTGTGTCACCTTTTTTTTTACAGTCTGCCACTGTGAGGTAAGACAGAGTGCTGAGAAACTTAGAAGGCCATCTAACAGGGACAGAATGATTCTAAATGGAACTTTCATTAACTTGTGGTTTCTATAACATACAGAGAATAGATTCTTCTGAAAAAAATGCCTTTTTCTAATGACTGCCCTGAACTTTAGCTCAATCCCTTAATCCCTTATAAATATCTGAAATTTTAATGTTGCAGGATAACAAATATGAAAAGATGAAGTAGTTTAAGGAAAGGAAACCAATTTTCTAAGTCACAGCAATTCCCCTCATTCTACCCTCAACATTTGAATCAATATTCTTAAATTAAAAAAAAAAATCTTAAGAGTAATTGAGGCAGCCAGAGCTTTCTTGAATATAGTCAATGTCCCTAAATTTCCTTTAAACATAGTCAAGCAGCACCAGAGCACAGAACATAAGGATTACTCAAGGCGAAGAAACAATCTTTTATTTTTTTTTTATTTCGGCATATTATGGGGGTACAGATTTTAAGGTTTCAATAAATGCCCTTCCCCCCTCCCCCCACAAGAGATCTTACGGCTACTGAAAGCAGCACCACATGACATTATAACTCCTTTTACTGCCCTGGACTAAAACACCTGGAGCTTTTGAGAGCTTTGAGAAGAAGCACTAACTCGCCCAACTGGATTTATACAAGTAGAAAAGGCAAAGATATCACTTGGCTACTACCCGCAGAGACCCTTAGGTCAATGCAGAACTTGGAGAATTTTATGGCTCCATATGAGCCATAAAAGCAAAAAGAAAGACAGCCAACCCTTGTGTAGAAGCCAAAGAAAGAGCAGGGGATGAGGACTGCTATGGAGGGAAATCAACTCAGAGAATTATTCCTGGAAGTTGCAACCAGAAAATCCTGAAGGATGCCATACTATTGAGACCTCATCTATCCATGACGCTGCTCAGGAACCCCCAGCCCTCTTGCCACCAGCAGACATACACACACGAGAGAAGAATCCGATTTAGCATCCTCCCTCCATTCATAGAAAATTCTCCCAGGTCCACTCTGAGTGGAGGCTGCATCGCAACCCGGGGATTCCCTCTCTCCTTCCAGGCCTCTTGATACAAACTCTGCAACCGGCAACTGAAGCGTCACCACAGAGGATTTTTCTGATTGGCCAAAACCTGCCCTGGCAGGGTTGGGTTTGGGTGTCTTTAGATTTCCTTCCCTGGGTCTTCACAATTGCTCTACAACTCAGAACAGCAAGTGCTGGGACCAGCTTGGGAAGAGGATGATCCTACACACCTCTCTGATGCTGGGCGCCCTTGCCCTGGCCACCACGGTGGACCCCTGTGGAGGGGAAGACATTGTAGGTGAGTGCTCGGCTGAGGGAGTGCTCAGGAGTGGGAACACAGGATATCAAAGGGAAAGAGGTAGAGATTTCCTGAGAAATAGTAGAGAGTTCTCAGGGGCCTTTTCAATATTAAGAGATTTAAAACTTATGGCTGTTCCTCCTTCAGGAAACCAGAGCCCAAACCTACTCTGTTTGCTACCTGTGCTGTTGAGAGTCCACCAGGGACATTGTTCTGTTGGTAATACTGGATGCAGTGATGATAGCCTGGGAGTCTCTATGGCATCCCATCTCCATCGCCTCAAAGATTAGTGAGGTTCCCATGGGGGGAGTATTTTTTACTATAAAAAATATATGAACTATACTCCCAAATTTATCTGAACAACATTTGAAGCTTTTTATATGTCTCCTATAGTCTTGGGGTAAACAGTTCCATGAATTATGTATACTGTGTAGACACAGAAAGATGTCCTCTGAGTCTCAGGCCTACATGCACCTCTGTGGGGGGAAGGGGGGAGCAGGAGGAGTCGGGCAGGCTGACTGTCACTACCAGCCATTCACCACGTGTTCCTCACTGGGTCTCAGCTGCCCCGCGTGTCGCCTCACACGTAATCAAATAAATGGGCATGTAGATATGTTCTATAGACAGTGAAAACATACAAATGCCAATGCTTATTTTTTGACTTATTCCTGTTATAGATAGAGCTTCATACTTTTTCTTTAGCAAAGGAGTATCTTTATTTTTATTTTAAAATTGGAAAATTTATGATGAAAAACTTAGTGAATTAAATTATTTTATTCTGGAGTTACCAGCCCAGATTACCTGTTCTTCGCCCCGCCCAAGGGCGTGCTGTGAAGGGAAATGGGCAGGCGCCGCCTAGTCCTTTGGTCCTTCAGGCCCCTCTGCCTTTGGCGTCCACTGCCACCCTCTCTGCAGACTTTCCTTTATCCGTCCCTGGCTCTGCTCCCTTTTGCAGCCGTGAACAGTGGGTCTGTAAAAGCAAAAGTTGAAAAGTAAATGGTTAAAAGGGGAAGTGAAATGGACGGTCTCTGACCTTCGCAGCTGGTTAACCACGGCTGCTCCCATCCGGCTCCGAGCTGCAAAGCCGGCTCCGCACGCCCTCTCTCACCACACCGAGCCCCGGTCCACACGCCCTCTCTCACCACACCGAGCCCCTGTCCGGCTCCACACGTCCTCTCTCACCACACCGAGCCCCGGTCCACACGTCCTCTCTCACCACACCGAGCCCCGACCGGCTCCACACGCCCTCTCTCACCACACCGAGCCCCGACCGGCTCCACACGCCCTCTCTCACCACACCGAGCCCCGACCGGCTCCACACGTCCTCTCTCACCACACCGAGCCCCGACCGGCTCCACACGTCCTCTCTCTCCACACCGAGCCCCGACCGGCTCCACTGACCGTTAGGCGCGGCGGGAGCGGTTCTGGGCCTGCGATACTGTAGGGCTGCATGAAAATGTTTCCATTTTTTAAATTAGAAAAAAAAATGAAGTTTTAGAATCTAAAAAAGTGTTTTAACTTTTCATTCAGCCTGGACTATATTTGTCTTTATACTAATAATGTCACAAAATATAATTGTTAATACTGGAGGAAGGAGCCCCTGAAAGCAGCGCTGTGGGGCTCACAATCATGCGGCCGCCCTGGCCATGGCTGCTCCTGGCCTTCATGTGGCTCTGCCCCCTGTGCCTGTCGGTCTTCCCCAAAATCTGTGTGACCCTCGAAAAAACAATTGTCATTCAATGCATATTTTTTGGCACACAGTGAGCTGAGTTTGGGGGATTCCAAGATGAAAAGTCACTCTACCTGCCCCCTAGAGCGAACACAGGCTAGAGATGGAAACAGTTTGGGGAGCAGGAGAGCAGGAGAACCCCGCAGCTCATTGCTGAGCAGGACAGTGGGTACAGCTGAGGCTGGAGCCATGAAAGTGACTTGGTTCCAGTTGGCACAGCAGTACGAGGTCCCCCAGCAGTACTTGGCATCCAGGACAAGAATCAGATGAAAAGAAGGATTGCACATACGTTTGAAAAAGGAGTCAAGGTTTATTGCTGCTTAGGGAGTGATAAGGAGGCTTTGTTGGAAGCCTGATAATGGTCAACCAAAGCAGTCATACTGGAGAGGGAAGAAAGTGAACCGGAAGAGGAGTAGACAAACCTGGAGAACGGGACATTGAGATGGAGGGATGGAGGTCATATGTGGTCAAACACATGTTGATTAGAAGAGGACTTAGCTAAAAGTTTGGTCACTAAACAGAAACTCCAAGGATAAATTAGAGGTCTCAAGGAAATCCTAAAAGATAACTTCATTTCAAGGATAAAAACAGACCCTTGCAAAAACCAGTGACATAGGTAGTTTGGTTTAATTGGCAGGCACCTGTGGAGGATGTTGAGTATAAGGCTGTCAATACCCTCATCGCGGGATCACCGCAGTGTATTGTGTTTACTCCTTTTCTCCACTACTCAGTGAGCTCCCTGGTAGAAGACCATGCCAGCGTGGTGTCTGACTCCTTGCCCCTGCCTGTCTGATGCCTGTTTGTGCTCAGTAAATGAGGGAAGAAGGAAGGACGAAATGGTGAAGAGTTCATATACGTCTTGACAAAAATAGCCTCATTCGGGTGGAGTCCTGCGCTGGCGGCCACTCTGCCTTGGTATCCTCAGACTAGTACGCTGCACATTTGAGAAAAAGACTTTAATTTTCTTTGAGTCCTCAAATGAATGTCAGTGTCGAGTCAGAAAAAGGAGAGAGGTTAATAACCTCCTCTAAGGAAAAAAAAATGGGTGTGGGGAATGACAGAAATCCAAAAACTAGTAATGCTACCATTTTTTATTTCAGAAGAAATCAGGCACTCTCTTCTAACGACTGCTACTGTTTCGTTAGCAAAACAGAGACCTTAAAACCATCGTCTATTTTTTTATATATTTTGTAATGTTGTTTCTGTTTTTGTTATGCTCTTTCCTATGCCCTATAACAGTTAGAAGAAACTCTTTTAAAATAACAAGATCCTGTGCAATTTCTTTTTTTTATTATTTTTATTTTTATTTTTTTAATTTTAGTCTATTATGGGAGTACAAGTGTTAAGGTTAGGTATGTTGCCCATGCCCCCCTCCCTGTGCAATTTCTTTGGTGAAAAAAAAGGGGGTCTCTGTGTAGAAAATATCCTGCTCTGAGCCAGTCTTGGGAAGAGGAACCATAATAAATGTGCTATTAACTAATGAAAGAATGAAGTGAGAGACGAAACTTAGGAAGTAGAGGAAAGTAAACCGAATCTCCGAGAAGCTAAATACTGTGATAATTCATTCCCTCTTTCATTCAATTGCAATATTTATTACAAGCCCATGATGTGCCAGACACCGGGCTAGGCACTCAAGGAATGGCAGCAAACAAGGCATGTGATTCCGCCCTTGCGGCACAAACATTGCAGTGGGGAAGACAGGCTGGGTTCTCACTGAACAACCGCCAACACTAAGCGGGAGGAACCGGGTGGTGAGAATGTTGTCCAGAGACTGTGCCAAAGATGAAGCCCACAAGATTTGAAAGTCATTTCTGTCACTTTATTTAATACGGTTCTTTATCCAATACGGTTCTTTATCCCTCTGTTTTCCACCTTCCTACTTGTCTCCCTCGCTCACCAGCTGACCACCTTGGCGCCTACGGCATAAACGTCTACCAGTCTTACGGCCCCGCTGGCCAGTACACCCACGAATTCGATGGAGATGAGGAGTTCTACGTGGACCTGCAGAGGAGGGAGACTGTCTGGCGGCTGCCTGAGTTTAGCAAATTTACAAGTTTTGACCCACAGGGTGCACTGAGAAACATAGCTGCAGCAAAATACAACTTGGACCTCCTGATTAAACGCTCCAACTCTACCGCTGCTACCAACGGTATGTGTCTGTCATCCCGCCTCTCTTCACTGACTCTATCCCTTCACACTAGGCCCCACTCCCTTCTTCCCTAGGGATAGCTGCCCACTCACCACACAAAACTCCTCCTTCCCCAGGAGTCCCCAAATCTCATGGTAATTGCAGAAATCATTTCACAAATCATGCTTTTACCTATAATATAAGGGTCTGTATTCCCATAATGCATTCCTTACGTCCCTCAAGGAGAGGTCACTTAGATCTACCTTAATAAGCATACTCACAGAAGAAGGGCACATTGACAAAGTGCAGGCAAAATACAGTATTTCCCAAGCAGAAAGGAAACAAAACCTCTCCGCTACCAGCCAGGGTCCACCTGTGGGAGGCTCCTAGGACGCGGTGCAGAGCTCTAGGGCAGAGCTGCTCCAGCTCACACCAGTGCTCTTTCCTCGCCATAGAGGTTCCCGAGGTGACGGTGTTCTCCAAGTCCCCAGTGATGCTGGGCCAGCCCAACACCCTCATCTGTCTCGTGGACAACATCTTCCCCCCTGTGATCAACATCACCTGGTTGGGCAACGGGCACCCAGTCACAGAAGGTGTTTCAGAGACCAGCTTCATCTCCAAGAGTGATCATTCCTTCCTCAAGATCAGTTACCTCACCTTCCTCCCTTCTGCTGATGACATTTACGACTGCAAGGTGGAGCACTGGGGCCTGGACGAGCCTCTCCTGAAACA